AGAAAAAATGAGGAGCTGATACCAAGGGCTCAAGTAGAAAGCAAATGTTTTGAGAATGATGATGGCAACAAATGTACAAATGTGCTCGACACAATGGATGGATATATGGATTGTGATAAGAGTTGTACAAACCCCCAATAAAATGATTTTTTTTAAAAAAGACAGTAAACAAAGCTGATCATCATGAGAAAAAATTTATAAAAGAAGTTTTGTGCAGCAGATTTACCTAAGGCAACACTTCCTTTGATTTCTTGACTGTTGCTTGTGAGTATTGATTGTGGATCCAAGCAGGACAAAAATCCTTGCCAACTTCAAACTTTTCTCCACTCATCATGATGTTATCTATTGGTCCAGTTGTGAGGATTTACGTTTCCTTGACATTGAATCGCAATCCATAATGATGGCTACACTCCTTGATCTTCATCAGCTAGTAATTAAAGGTCCTCCTTCTCACTTTCAGCAAGCAAGGTTTTGCTATCAGCATAGTACAGGTTGTTAATGAGCCTGAAGGTGGTATTGTTCTTCATATAATCTAGCTTCTCTGATTATTTGCTCAGCATACAGATTAAACAAGTACGGTATGAGGTACAGCACTGACCCACACCTTTCCCGGTTGTAAATCATGCAGTGTTCTCTTGTTCTGTCCCCACAACTGCTTCTTGATCCACATAGGAGCACAAGGAAGTGCTCTGGAATTCCCGTTCTTAATGTTACCCATAGTTTATTATGGTCCACACAGTCAATGCCTTGGCACAGTCAATAAAACACGAGTAAACATCTTTCTTGTATTTTGTTTTAGCTAAGATCCATCTGACGTCAGCAATGCTATCCCTCTTTTATTTCCTCTTCTGAATATGGCTGAAACTTCTGACAGTTCCCTGTCAATGAACTGGTTCAACCATTGTTGGACGATCTTAAGTTAAATTGTACCTGTGTGCAATAGCAGTTATATTGTGCTATAGTTTAAGCATTCTGTTGGGTCACCTTTCTTTGTAATGGTTCAAATATGGACCTCTTCCAGTCAGTTGGCTGAGTAGCAGTCTTCCAAATTTCTTAGCATTGACTAGTGAGTGCTTCCAGTGCTTCCATCAGCTTGTTAAAGGATCTCAACGGTATTCCGTCAATTCTTGGAGCCATGGTTTTGGCTAATGTTTTCAGTGCAGCTTTTACGTCTTCCTTCAGTACCATTGATTCTTGCTCATATGCTATCTCCTGAAATGGTGGAATGTCGACTGCTTCTTTTTGATACAGTGACTCCATGTATTCTTTCCATCTTCTCTTGATGCTTCCTGCATCATTCAGTATTTTGTCCATAGAACCTTTCAAGATTGCCACTAGCTACTTCAATTTTTTTGAGTTCTTTAAGTTTCAGATATACCGAGTACGTAATTCCCTTTTGGTTCACTAAATCTAGGCCTGTGCATGTTTCATTATATTTGGCTTTGTCTTCATGAGCTGGCCTTTGAAATGTTCTATTTAGTTCTTTGACTTCATCATTTCTTCCACTTGCTTAAACTACTCTACAATTAAGAGCAAATTTCAGTCTCTTGACATCTACTTTGATCTTTTTTCTTTATTTTTTAATGAACAAATTTATTTATTTATCTTTAAGTTTAAATCCTTGAGGGATACAGCATCACACGGATTCTGTGGCCAATAGCCAGTAGCCTTAGCAGGCAGTTTGCTCCGGAATTTGGCCTGAATCATGCCAATGTTTCCATGGGCACGAGTTACCTTTCCCCCGTGACTCTGGTTTTGTTAGGCCTGCCGCTAGGAGTCACTGTGTTGTTCTTTGCTTTGTACACATAGGCACATCTCTTGCCTAAATATAATTCCGTTTCACCTCAGGCGTAAACACCTTCAATTCTAAGAGTCATGTGCTCCCTCT